AGAGAGAGAGAGAGAAAGAGGGTATGAAGCTAAGACAGCATAGGAGTTAGGGACGAAGATTACAAAGCCGAGATTATCTAACTCCCTTAGACGGGGATGTATGGATTTTCGACGTAGTGAAGCCTACCGCCCGCGGATGCGTCGGGAGAATGAGGAAGTCGGCGTAGAGGAAGTGGCAGCCGCGAAGTCATGGAGAGAAAGACGGGGAGGATGGAATGGTGGATAGTGGCTGGCGATGCTTTGAAGCGCTGTCTTTCGGGAGACGTGTCCTATCCGCGCGAGCGCGCGCTTGTTAATAGGAGAGGTCGTTTAGGGGTAGCTCCTGCCACTCCGCAGCCCCATTCGCCGAACTGCCGACTTGCCAGACTGTCGGTATTGTATTTGAATACGTGACGTATCTGCTCTCTCGGTCGTTGCTTACTGCCATTGTACGTGCGAGATAGAAAGAGAGACGAACAGATAGAGAAAGAGAGAAGCCGGGAGGAAGGGAGAGAAAGAGCATCAAATTCTGTTCTCTTCTCGATATCCATCTCTGTCTTTCTCGAATCTCCATCTCTATCTTCCGTCTCTATCTCGCGAACCCCTCCGTTAGTCTCTCTCTCACGAATATCTCGCCATAGCTGTAGCCTCAGCCTTGACTGCTTCTCGTCGCCAATCTGCTCTATGGTTCTCCAGCTCGCTCGATCGCGGGTGCACAATCGGACTTGAGCCGGGTAATGAGGCGCTCTATTCAAATAAATCTTGATACCGGTGAAGAGTGTTTCGCGGCCTATTATATAGGGATTCCCGTGCGGAATGACGCAAAATTTTCGTGGTTAACCAGCGCGCGTATTACATTTTGTAACTCTTTCATTATGTAGCAAGAATTACGCAAATTATTAATAACGTACCTATTAACTATTTTAATCTATATAAATTTTCATGACAACAAGCTAATGTAATTTGATTCGGCAATTTTTTGATTTGAGTATAAGTTAATAATATATATACATATATCGTCGGATTTATTGATACTGTTTGTTATGTTTGCTGACATTCCTAAAAATTTTCAATAATTGTACCAAAAACTTTACTTCATTATTATATTTATAGGGAATTATAAATTACTGCTCTCTGTTTCCGTATTATCTAACATTCAATCAATTTCAATATTTCACGTCGATTAAAATGTATGAAGCAAAAGTTAAAATAAATTCCGTTAAAATTCACAAATTATTTTCAATTAGTTCATTTAGTTTTTGTCAGAATAATTCAGTAATTTTTCTTGAAATTACGCTTCGCTATCTCGAGCATCTAAGTGCCGAATTATTTTATTAAAATACATCTCGCTGCCGTTAGCCGAGTGTTCAGCGAGCCATTATGTAAACACTCAGGCGTAAAGAGACCGTGGGGGCGAAAAATTGTTACGGAAAAACTGACGTTCCCGGCAAAGCCACGGCCACCGCGCCGCCGCTTGAAGCGAAACGCGGATCCAGCAAGCCGCGAGTCGTTTCCTTTTTCTCCTTCCGTCCGTTTCAGCCGAACCCAGGGGCTAACCGTTGTTGCGCCTCGTTACCCATCCTACGTCCGACCTTGAAACTCCAACGTGAAAACTGGATTTCATGCCGTATACCGTCTCCTCAACCCCATGGATTCCCTCTTTTTTTTTTTATTCTCTGGGTGTGGATTAAAGGCTGGCGGAGGATCTTCGCGCACATTTTGCCACGACTGTCCATCTTTCCTTTTTACGCCTTTTTCTCCGTCCTTCACCAGCCATACTACTTTAGCCAGCAACCATTTCATTCTCACCAGCAAGTCAGTGCCGCGGGGCATTCCAATTTTCTCTCTATACCCGTACGCATATCCGTTTATAGTTTTTCTCATTTATTATATCGTTCAAATACGGTCTCGTCATGGTTATCTCTTTAGTCTCGAAGCTTACGGCGAGATATAATAGATGAACATACGTAGCTAATGGCAGTAGCGGACACGAATCTCAAAATTGATCATTAATCATAAATCAGCCTGAAGCGTATCTTTTTGGTACCTTAAGTGGTTAAAAAATATATAAATGAGATAGTAACAAAAAAAAAGAATATTTTTGCGAAGAAAATACAAACGATGATTCAATTTACGTACGATTCTATGTTATAATTTAAAAAATTTTCTTCTATACAATAAAATGTGAAATGCTAAAAGTAAATCTTACCTGCACGTCCTTGGTGAATTGGTTGCTGCAGAAGATGTGAACAGCCGAGAATTCTCTGACGTGGTCGAATTCAAATTTGATCTCGAGCGGATGTCCGGACCTCGTGTCGTTCTTCCAGCCAACCCATCCCTGACTTCTGTCATAGTTGTCAAAGGCATTCATCTTAAGGTAGTCCGGTCCGGTCTTGCCGTCCGTCAGTTGTCCCAAGCCACGAAGAAGTTGTCCGTCCCAATAACCATCGTAAGTCGCGTCGAAGAATTCCCAATTGTTGCGCTTGTCACCTTGGGGCATCGAGTACGAGACGATGCCGTCGTTCCAAGGGCAGCCGTAGAGCTCGACGCGCATGCAAACGGTGCGACGATGATAGCTGTAGGGTAGGAAACGAATTTTGCTGGCCCATATTGGTGGCTCCAGTTCGTGCTTTGACTCCAGGTAGGTATTTCTGTTGCCCTGAATAACCTGAACAAACGGAATGTAGGAAATTGGCATCAGAATCGTCGGACGTGATTTTTCAAGAGAAGTTTCCCATTCAATCTAAATTCTTGACATTTTAAAAATACACGGAATACATAGTAATGAGCGTACGATTACTGACAGATGCATCGTTAGATGTGATATATATATAAATAATACTATTTTTACGCGCGTTATATTAATTTATCGGTGAACAAACACGGATATAAGATTCTGCAATCTCAACCCCCATGTATGAGATAAATCATCGTTCGTGTAAAATCTCGACTCTTGCCTCATTTACGGACATTTTCAGACGGCGAGATAGCGAAATTTTTCACCAATGCGCAATATAAATTGCGCCACGCCGCACCGTAGCATTTCTACTACAGCGTGATTTCAGGCCTGACGCGCGCTCTCGCATAGAACAAGGCGCGTTCTATTCGATCGACCGTCGAAACGTATATATCGCTGGGGAGGATCAAGAATTTCTCGGACGGCGTCGTCGAGGGAAGAGGCCCTTCGGAACAAAGGACCTCTTATTTTCCACTTATGAGCTCGCCAGCGCCTCTCGACTCGCTCACACGAGATTCTCACGTATGGTCGGTTACGTGACCGTATAACTATCATCGTCGCGATCCCGACAGGTGCAAACACTCCTTTATTTCCTATTTCTATCCTTTCCACGCCTATCTCTTCTTCCCCGTTATGCTTATGCTTATGCTCGTCGGACATTAACTGATGTTCACTGCATCACGGTTCTATTGTACGTCATGATTTTAATCAATTTCCTATGCTTAATCGATTCTGCACATAACACACGCATTATGAACGCATTGAATTTAATTACGGGCATTTCTCTCGCAATAAAAAATGAATAAATATCTATAGAAACTTTTTGAAGTAATTTTAATTATATGCTCTCAAACAAAATAAACGCCACAGTTAAGTAGAATCCGGATAGTATCGTTAAATATTCAAGAGATATAATTTCTAATTTCAAATTCAGGTAAATCTTTTCTTCTCCACATTGTCACGATAACTGATTACAGATGTATTTTTAATGTCTGTTCAATGTTATTTTATAATATTTAACTCGATCCGATTTCGAACATTTTCCTTTTGGAAAAGATGAGAATTAGCACGTTATTCAGTTAATCATGTATTTCTTATTTCGCGGAAATATTTCCACCCCTGTGTCTTTTCGGCTTTTCTGTTCACTAGAAATGAACTCACGATCACACGATGGGAAACGCGTTTAAAGATGATTCTCGTGACCGCGCGAACCGGCACGTTCCGCGCCGGGTGGCGCGGTAATTGGGACCGGTAGCTGACACCGTTTTATTTGCGCCGCGACACGGTACCTGATGTTTAGCACATTGAAACGGACAGTACCAAGGCGTCGGATGAGCAAATACAATGAACCGACACGTGAGAAATTTTCTGCTAGGCGACGGAACCGCATAGTGGGCGTTTCCGGAGGTTGACAGTTACGTGTATAGCTTCGCCGAGTGTACGTAATAGCATCCTGTTTTCTTTTCCCGATGATTGTATCTAGAATTATTTTCGCACGTCGGAAAGCGAGAGGAGATTAAGCGTTTGAATATATCGCGAAATTTAATATCTAATTTACATGGAATATTAAATATTGAAAAAGTCATGTAGAAACAATGTGGTTTTAAAATATACGGATATGGAGGATACGTTTTCTTTAAATCGCTTTGCACATATAACGTACATTACGATCCTGTAATTTTTTTTCCAAAGAATTCTCATCGAAATATTTCGACTCGACTGTTGAAAGTACGCCGGATATTTCGTACCGTCATTTATACCGCGCGTGCTTACTTTATACTCACGGCGCGATGCGATGCGACCAGCTGCACTATCGCAATTTTTTACGAAGATGACTCACAATTCGGCGGCCGGTTTCGCGTGCGGTACTCGCTGGTTCCCGACGTGGCGGCGAATCTCAATTTCCGAAAGACTCGAGCGGCACCGAGCGACGAGACCAAATTACGACGGCATTTACGAGCCGTTGAGACCGTGCGTCAGGAAAAATAAGTATTCTTGATATTTATCTTTGCGCCCACGCGCGGTTGTGGACTGACCCAAGCAGCGCCGGTCTGCTTTGTCGTGAAAGACTTTTCTCAAGTATCGCCGTGCCGCGGCGCCGAGACAAACGATCGTCTCTCAAATTATTCCTTGCCGCGGTTTCTCGTCACTTTTCATGGTAGGCGAATTCCAACAAGCGAGTTGTGCGAGGGCGTGGCGGAAACCAACGCCCATCTTATGTTAATGTTTTGTGTGCTGCTTTTGGATCGGTCGCGGTAAGCTGCTACCGTTGGTAGCTGAACGTCTTAGAGGCGGTGTTGATGGCTACGTGTCATCGTGGAAGATCACGGGGGATAAGGCATCTTACGGCTTAATTTAAATGGAATTTCGATGATGACGCGAGACGATTATGCGGATTTATTTATGATATATGTTACTGTGCGCGCTTTTTGTGATGGCATTAATGTGTCAATGCTCCGCATATTTATTAATATGTGTATATAATATGCTCGGTTGGATATCGATGAATATCAAGACAGTTATGTGTATTATCTATTCTGTTATCAGGTATTAAGAAGAATTATCTTCTCTGAGGAAGCTAATTTTAGTAATCATTGCGTTCAAAATCATGGTCTATAAAATATAGATGATGACAGTCCTGTGGTTTCTATCAGCGACATCGTCTGCATGGGATCGGGTTATTAAGAAAGATTATGCGTTGGATAAGCCGAGTGTCGTTGTGTAATTAAACGAGAGACAGCGCGGAGCTCACAGCGGGAGGAAGAGACACAAATTTCTGCAGGTTTATCCCTACCGCCGATGTTTTCTGGGTGGGCCTTTCCGTTCCAACAGGTACCTTACATCGCGCTACGAGAAATTATATGAGATATGCAAATGTTACAAGATGAAAGACATTTCTCAGATATATTTCATTCATTTACTCTTTATTAAAAGACCGTGTTAAAAGTTATTGCGAAATAATGATTACATATCAAATAAAAAAAAAAATTATAATTTTAAGACGCTATAAAATTTTAGATTTTTCACTTTAGAAATTGAAGAAATTGAAAAAATAAAATACAATAAATTAGCTGAAGTTTACATTAAATACTTCCTTATGTTCCTCAAAATGCCAAAAAATAAATTATATCATTATTTCTTACAATTTATTTAAAATTTTTATAATATAGATGCTATGTTTGCAGTTTTAAATTTTTCGAACAGATATATGAATTTTACGATATCAATATCAAAGATAGATCTTAGTAATAATAGTGCATTATCGGGAAGCCAAAATAATTTATTATTTGATAAGCACAATCACGGTAATTGTCTGGTACCAGGTGGTACCTTAAAATACATTCGCCTTAAAGTGCATATGTTTATTCTGAGGATTACGTAGATGGAAATGTTAGAAATGTACGTGCCCGCCGTATTAAGGAAAATACACGTAATATGTATATAGGAAAAGCAAGTCGCTTCGCGGTTGCATGCAAATATGGCTCGGGCTCCGCGCTCCTACGGATTCGACCTTCCTCAGATACGGCCGCTACCAAAGGATTCGCATATTCAGACAGGTATGCCTATGTAGGTGAGCTGGAATCGTCTGACCCGCCTGCACGCTACGACCTTCTCATTTTATTGATCCTCCCTTCTATACAAATAAGCTCGTAGTGCCACCGTGTCTGCCAACTCCCAAGGAAAGTTACTCCGACACGACTGGACGCTCGCTCGTCTTTCCTTTCGTCGGTTTCGGAAATCGATGACATTCCTTGGCTCGTGAGTTGTTCGTTCGCGCAAGCCAAAATGCGAACAGGCACGTGTCGCGCGTGGACATGACCGATTTTACCGAGATGCACAAGGTGGATCCGTTTCCTTGATTTTGACGCGGGCTATGCCAGTTAATTTAGTAAATTACAGCAAGGATTTATGGATTACTCAACCGTATGTCAGGAGCAATCTTCTCGCTTTCATGAATCGCCGAAACTTGCCGGCTACAACTGCCGCAAATTTATTTTCGCTAAATGGGAGGGAGAGGGGAGGGTGGAATCGCCGGTAGCGAGGTGATTATTGCGGATGACGCTAATTAAAGACTTAGCTTCATGGTAACCAGTATATCTGAGTAAATTACATCACGTACCGCACGCCCGGGCTCTCCAATGCGGCATATTACATCGGAGATTTACGTCTTGTTAACGTCACGCTTTAGTTACTGCCCGTGGTCGCACCGCAGACACTCGCGGACACAACTACAAATCATTCTCAATAATCTGCGCGCGCTCGGCTTTATGCGTATTACCCGCGACTAAATTTAACCGCGTGATTTCGTCCGTCGTACGTAACCTACGTCTCGAGGGGTGGATCCGCCGCAATTGCTGTGCTGTGATCAAATCGTTCGGCGAAACGTCTTTCTACAGCGCTGTCGACTCGCACGATTAAATCGATCGTGATAAATCGCGCGGCCTGGATAGCGGAATTATGTATAATGAATTCCGCGGTCTTGTCAGTGCATGTCTGATGAATATTCGTACGTTTCAATTTATTACTTTACAATCTATAGATACACTGCGCCATTCTGTGCCGGACTATTTCGAGGCATCCCTGACCTCTTTTATTCCGGACTTCCATCGTTCTCGATAAGTGATCGCATCCGTTTGCCCGAGTGTCCGCCGATTATTATTCGCACGAGGCTATAGATCAAAGAATAATAAGGTAACGAGGCTCACCTCTTCGCCACGTTGGTTTCTATAGCGGACCCATTTTCCCAGTTTCGGCCTCCAGTATTCCAGCATGTACGCCTCCGAATATTCGACACCCTGACCATTACCGAAGCGGCCTTGAGTGCAAGTCGCTGTGATCGTGTGCACCGTGTGAAGATCGATTTCCAGCCACTCGCGAGGCTCCGCCGTGATCTGCAGCTTTGGACACCAGGCACCTCCGTGGCTCTCCTGCTTCAGCCTGGAAGAATAAATATTTGCTCTGGGATTACGGACCTTTATTTTCCCTCTCTCGCTTTCTTATCGCGCTACGATCGCCGAGGGGAAAAGAGAACTTCTCGGGGGAATCCCTCGTGAAAAGGAAAATAGTCGCCAAGACGCGCGATCCGAACTTTCTCGTTTCGCGTGATGCTTTTACGGATTCATACATTTTTATCCGCATGTAAATTCAGAGAGGTTTATCATATTTCGATTCGCGATATACTCTTCGTTCACAGACTTCATACGACAGTCTAAAGAACATGGCACTTAAAAATTACAAACCTTTCTGCATACGCAATATGCGAAGAATGTAGCGCGCGACCTCGTAATATCGAAGTCTCTTTGAAGTGCTCGGTAGGATTTGGAGCGCGCGAAGAATTCGCGTCCACGTTGGTCGATAAGAAAATTATCTGTTATCGCGGTCGTACAACGACAGATGAGTATCGAAAGCGGACGGAAACGCGGCATCGTTACTCAGAGGAAATCGTATAAATACGTGATCGGCCGCGCGTCTGACGGATAACCGTCAGCCCGCCAACGCGATACGGGGTGAAATTATAATTTATCGATCGGACCGAGTCCCGGATGACATGAATTAAAGATGAGCTGGCACCGTCGCGAGAATGACGACGAAGCCACTTCGAGCCGGCTAATAATTGTATTCGCATATACCTTTCGCGGGCTCGTCTACGGCATTAAAAAGCTGTCCCTGCCGTCTGCGATACGGCCGTGAAATAAACGCACTGCCGCTGCGCGACGTGCGCTGTGGATGATTCCACGGCTCGTAAACTAAGCAGACAGGAGTGAATCTGTTTCGAATTCTTTCTGTCGTCGTAAATTACTACTGCCATCCCTGATATGATAATCCACGAAGCGGCGTTATCCTATAGGCATTTATTAATAAGGAATTTTTACCGAGTACACGCACCGTGACGTGAATTTTGTTACCATGAGCGCGTTTATTAACCATGAAAAGTTTATGAAAGCATTTTCTCCGGAATTCTCCAAGATCTCCGGGATCTCTCGCCTGCAACGCGAGGGTAACTTCTTGTACGGAACGAGACGGGTTCGGCGAAGAAAAATTTCAAGGAGGGGAAAAAAAGGAGAGACGGGACCCCGCGGGAAGAAGCGGGTAGCGATGCCAAATGAATCCGCCGGCGGAACTCGTGTACGCGCGTCGAGCAAAAATGTTGTCGCGCAATAAAGAGGTGAGCTACCGTCCTCTCTGAAGTGTCAGAACTTTAAGTGTGTCTTTGACGTGGAAGGCAGTAAAAGCGGCGGACCAGGATTTGCCGTGTGTCTGTCTAAGGTCGCTTCCCGAAGTGGTTTGGCAACGCAGAAAGGAGAATACAGCGGAGCAACGTGAGAGGAAAGAGGAAGAGAGAAAAAGAGAGGGAAAGAGCGAAACGCATGGAGCGGGAGAAAAGAAAACACAAGACGCGCGAATGTGGAAACGGGAGAGGGAGTGGGAGAGAGAGAGAGAGAGAGAGAGAGAGAGAGAGA